GTTCCCTGGACATTTGATTAATACATAGAAATTAATGATTCAAGACATAATATAGCAAATTCATTCAGAGTTTAAAATTTATAAATTGAAAAAAGGTTTTAAATAGAATTTGCTTCAATTGTATGATAGCCTCCCTCATCTTTTTTTTTTAACTACTTTTTTTTGATACTATTGGTAGTAAAACAAAGTATATTTTGGTAGTAAAAAAAAATTCATTTTAGGCAAAAAATAAAATGCAAGACACTATAGGTAGATTTATTTATATATTACACACTGTGAAATATAAATTGATCTGCTTTCTCACACAGAAATAATGTCATTTTAGAATTTGGAACATCTGAATAATTTAACTATAAGAATTTTAATATTATTTGATATATTCCATTACAGGGAATGATTATCAGGACAGAACTTACTATTTTACATAGTATATTACAGAGAATGTTTTGCCACGCAGAAAATCAATTTCCCATCAGATAAGTAAAAATGTGATGGCAGGAGTTGTAAAGTAGGATAGCAAAGCTATAAAAGGCTAAATTTGAAGTAATCACAGAACAAAAGGCTATGCTTTGGTTATTCTTCTCAATTGTGAAAAAAAATGGAATGTAATCTTACCAATGCACAACATTATGTGCCATAAAAATATAAGATACTACTTTGTAAATGATAAAATAACTATGATAAAGGCATCTACTTTATGAGTGATATAAACAGAAATCTAACTCAAGGAGCTTTCATTAATTGCAAAGCTATGGGTGCTCTAGAAATTGAGGCTGATCAGAGATTTTAGAGTAAGAATTTCTAAATTTTCTTCAGAATGTCCTGGAAATAATTTCCAATATTTAGTGACAAGTCTGAGAGAGAGAATTTGATGATGTGGTAAAAAGGAAAAAAAAAATTCAATGATAATTCACCATTCAATAAATAATATTATATTCTATACTTCCTGTTACTCAGCATTTTTTCACTGTGCCAAAATAAAACAACACAAAGGAAAGAAAGATTTACTTTGGCTCATGGTTGCTTGGCCCTACAGCTTTGGGACTATTGGTGAGGCTAAACACCATACTGAAGAGTGTATGCTTAATCAAAGTTGCTTAAATCATAGCAGCCAGGAAAGAGAAAAAGAAAAGGTCTGGGTTCCAAATATACTCTCTTCAGGGCCATACCCCAGGGACATAACTTCCTCCTACTAAACCCCAGCTCTTAAAGTTTCTACCATCTCCAAAATAGCACTGTCAGCTGGGGCCCAAGCCTTCTGAAGGACATTTAAGATCCAACCATAATACCATGTAAGATACAGAGTTCCTTTGCCCTTTGTAAATCACATTCTAAGGGAAGCAACAGAGACTACAAAATAAATAAACAAATAAATACGTAAGTTCACTGTAAGACATAGTGCTATTTGAGAAATAAGTGTCCAGAGAGAGAGAAAGAGAGATAAACAAAGGAATAAATATATTTTAGATAACAAGGAGATAACTTCTCTGAGTGAAATTTAGGCTAAGTTTAAAATGTTTAGAAGGCAATATCCATAAGAAGAGTAGGAATTAGTACTCTAGGAAAACAGAACATCAAGAGCAAAGGCCCATAGCCATAAATTTAATGCAGTTTAAGAGATGAAAGAAATTAGTACAACATTTATCTGGTAATGCCTTTGTACCTACAATATATAAAATCCTTTCACAATATGTAAAGTATTCAGTAATAAAATGAATATTTAAAAACAAATAAAGAATAAAAATAGTTATTTCTCCCAGTTTGACTTATGTCACATGGCCAATAAACACATGAAAAAATATTCACATCTTTAATAATAAAGAGACTTGAAGTCAAAATTGCAATGAGCTACCACTTTATATCTACTAGGATGGCTGGATAAAAAAGTGAGATCTCAACAACTGTTAGCAATGATACAAAGACCTCAGAAACTTGTACTGTGGATGGAAATGTAAACTGGTGAGGCTGTTTTAGCAAACAGCTTGTGGCAGTTCCTCAACTGCTTAAAACATAGAGTTACTAGGTAATCCAGCATTTCACCCCTGGGTATACACTAAAGAGAAATAAAAAACATGTTCACACACAAATTTGTACAGGAATATTTATAGCAGAATTGTTAGTGTCAGACAAAAGGTAAAAACAATCCAAATGTCTAACTAGCAGACAAATGCTTAAACAGACTGTGGCACATCCATACAATAAAAAATTTTTCAAACATGTGGAACAAGGTAGTGATAGATGCTACAACATGCATCAACCCTGAAAACATTATTGAAAGTACAAGAAGGCAGTCACAAAATACCATATACTACAAGACTTTATTCAAATGAGAGGCCAGACTTGAGAACTCTCCAGAGACTGACAGTAGATTAGTGGTTTTATAGTTTAGGACTAAATGAATGGAAGAGGGGGTATTCTTTTTTTTTTTTTGGAGGTGGTAAACTGTCCTAAACTTTTCTGTGGTGGTGATGGTTGGTGATATCTGTGAGTATACTAAAAACCAGTGAACTGCATGCTGTATTGAAAAAAGAAAGAGATCTGTAGGATTGACTTAGAACATGTACAACAATTACTATGGAAAGGATATGAGATGAAGGACAAACATATCAGTTCATACAAATGGCTCGAATTAATTATCATTCTGTCCTCTTCTCAGAAAGTCCTGAGGAGGTCACCTTTCAAGGAGGTCATCTGAAGGAATATACTGACAAAGAGTGACTATTCAGAAGTTCCTAGGGACATTCAGAAGTTCACTTTCATCAGAAGTTACTGATGTACTTATGGCTTTCAGCAAATAACCTATTGACATTTATAAGATCAGGGAAAGGCAATCAGTGCAACTAGCCTGGCTGTCAGCAGCTCTGTGAGTCAATGCTATGCTTAGACTGCTCTATTGGTCTTGTCAGTGATACTACAAACATACCAAAAGAATAATGAACAAATAAAGCACAAAAACTTACTCTTCTATTTGAAGATACCAGCCCCAACTGAGTAAATTCACATCAAAATGGTTTCATTTCACAGTAGAAAGGAAGATTATATACAACATAAGTGTAATTTAGATTAATTTATGTCAGCCTGAAGAAACACAATAAAAGTAATCTTTAAAGTAATAAAATAAACATGGGATGATAGGGAAGTAAAAAAAAATTTCTCATCTTTTTGATATATGTCTATTGCTTTCAATAATAACTTGCTTTCAATAATAACTGTAGTATGTTATTCAATTCCTCAGGTCATTTTTAATTCTAAGTATGGAAGTTGTGCCATTTCCCCTCCTCCTATGAGAAAAAAATCCTCATCCTGGGGACACCAAAATTGAAAGTGATAGAGTGGACTGGCTAGGGGTTATAACCATTATTCCCGGGATACCTAAAGTCTAGATTGGAAAAACAAAAACAAACAGAACAGATCACCATCTTATGACTACCCAGTTCCAAACAGGGAAGACATCATAAGTGAATTTCCTGAAGGTCACTTTAACAACTCCTAACAGGCTAACCAGCACTTGCTTTTGACAACTGTACAACACTCCTTTTCCCCTCATTCTCCTCAGTATTTTTTTTAACCTACAAAGGCCGCAATATAAGTTACTACACTCACCCTACTTATCTAAACTTTCAGATAACAAATTATATTCCAAGTAGAAATTACTGATACCAAATGGATTCGAATTTTTCATGTGTGATGCTCTATATATGTGCCCATATATGAATGAATATGTATACAAACTTATGCATGTATATGTATACACACACACACACACACACACACACGAGAGAGAGAGAGAGAGAGAGAGAGAGAGAGAGAGAACATATTAATCAATAGCTCTTAAAGGGTCACTTACATTTTCATATGTGACACTAAAAATTTTCACAAAGAAAATGATGTCTCCAGATTCTTATTTATAGATAAAGATGAATCATCAGACAGCTAACATTGATGCTAAAGATCTAACAAGAGACAATTTAACAGATGAGGAGATGCTAACTGTAGCAAGCAGGATAAATCTAGAAGCTGGGAGACAAATGAGGAGATATCACCATATGCAAACAACTGAAGTGATTTTTTTCCACAACAATGAAACAATATTCCAAAATTTTGCAGTGCAAATGATGACTAAAATAACACCTGTCAGAATGAGTGAATCATTACTTTTGAATCAAAAAGCAGAAAGGGAAGTATGTGACTTTTGCTGTTAAAATAACATCCATGCCTTAAAGTATTATTAGCTTAAGCATTGTATTTTTGAATGTAAACAATTAGTACTTAGTTTATTTAACTATTTAAATACACTATTTAAATTTAGTCATATACTACTAGAAAACATATTTGGTTTTATTTTTCTCATTAAGTTCACAGAGATACATTACTGTACTGTCAGGTCCAAAGGAAATCTAGACATGATTTAAATTTTCTCTCTCAATTTCTGCCCATTCTACTAAGAATCTATGACCAGTGACATAAATATCTGCAATATCAAAATGAGGTATTCATTCTAATTTGACCACATCAAGGTCAGGACCACCATTCTTCTTAGGAGGATATACAGGCACTACTCTTAAGTTGGGAATAATGTCTTATTTAAACACTTGCGCTTTATGAACAGAAAGACAGTAAGAGTTCATACTCAGTATGATGGGGAAATGAAGAACAAGGCTTGAAATTGCATGGCATTCTCTAAGACAATGCATGTGCCAGGAAGGATGTCACAAATATTGTGGTCCTTATAAGGAAGACGCTACAGGGTTTTAGAAGAGTCATATGATCCAATCTGTTGTCCAACAGCCTCACTCTGACTGCTATACTGACAACACAATGATCGTGGTAGAATATTGCAACAGGTGAGAAATGACAGTGATAGTGGGGAAGCAGAGGTGGTTTTATATCAGATACACAGAGTCAAGAGAATTTGCTGACAGATTACTTGTAGGGAATGCAGAGAAAGGTCCAAAAACAACCTTCAAGTTTATTGCCTAAAGAATAGGAAACAAAGTTACCATTTCTGAAATGGGAAAGAAAGTTGACAGTTACCTTATTTCTCATTAAATTTTGAGTCTTAGGTACATAGGTTTGAATGGAGCACAAAGCACTTACAAAAACACCACTACTCTGTTGAATAAATAAACAAACATTCTATACATCTAGAATTCAAAAAATCAAATATCACGAATTTCTTTTTAAAGAAAAAAAAATATATTGCCACTGGACTAATTTGTCACACCCCAGCCACAAGAAATAAGAATTATTTTGCCTCATAAAAATTTAGTAAGAAACTTGAGAATGGTCAGGGATGTGGCTCAGTTGTAGAGCACTTTCCTAGCATGTGTAAGGTCACA